CATGGTCATGATTTTGTATGTCCAGTAAAATACGAGTATTATCAAGTTGAATATGATTGATTCTCTCCTCATGGACTGCAGAGTTAGCTGCTACAAAGGCTGGCTGATGTACACATGACCGAGTAGGATTCACCTGTTCACAAACCCTTTTAAGCCTACTGTGTGTGCTGCTTTATATGACTTGCTAACTCACTGTCCGTTCCCTGGTTCTTTGACAGGACCCACTTCTACCTGTTGTCTTTGTTGGCTTCCCCCTCTGTATGTGCATGAGGCTATCCTCTAAAACCTGCTTAACCCAGAACCTGTGTAAGGTGGAAACTTATCAGAGAAGGAAAACTCAGTTTCCACTAAAACCACTGTTAGAAAAGTAATAATATTGAACACCCTGTTGAAGGTGGAATACCTGGGGAGGCCTGGTCAAAAATAGTCTGAAATCTCAAAGGTTTCACTGTTAACAACTGGAGCACACTGTGGAGGGAACTTTCCCAATCCTGTCCCGGAGAGCAGGGTGAGCCAGCACTGGAACAGAAAGTGAGGACTGAAAATGTGTTTGCAAAATAAACATGTGCACAGATATCGAATGAGTGAGCGCCACCACTTTGTTGGGCATGATGAGACCAGTGTTGGCAAGCACTTTTAGCTCCTTGGAGAAACGATAGTTGAGAAGTTCTGGATTGCCCATCAGCCAAAATGAAGATACCACGATCACACCGCCAATGAGCTCTTTATGGATTTAGGACAGTGGCTTATCGCCCTTTTGGGGGTCACAAGCCCCTTTTGGAGTCTAATAACTAGGAACCCTCTCTTTAGAAAAATATATAGGGACCATATATACATTTCAGCATATAAGTTAATTTGGGGGAGCTCAGAGTTCCCACTCCCACTAACTCCTCGATGGCCTAAAAGTTACCAAAACTCTTACTGCCATTGAGTGCATTCCAGCTCATATTGACTCTTGAGGACTGAGTAGTGAGGCCTCAGTAGGTTTCCCAGGCTGTCAATCTTTAGGGGAATAGGAAGCTCATCTTTCTCCCATGGAGCAACTGGTGGGTTCAGCCCAACACGTAACCAGTGATTCTGGCCCACTGACTTTGCTCCCAAGTTAAGGCTCCCTAATTTAGATACATAAAATTTGGCAATAAAGTGGCAGAAAGAAGAAAATTTAAATGAGAAGCTGGGAGACTTCAATTATAGCCCTACATTTGCTTTTCACTTGCTCTGTGGAAGTAATTACCTTCCACTGGGTTTCCATTTCTTATGTGAAAACAAGGGTGTGCATGTGCTTAATTCTATCCCAAGATTCATCTGGTGTCAACAGTCTCCAGGCAGAAGTAGCTGGCCTATTCCACAGGAACTTCAACCCCTTCCTCCAAGGCTCCTCTCCGGGATGCTTTCTTGCAGGGGATGAATCGCTAGCAAGCAGGGTACATACCAGGTTACATTATGCAAGGTATGCATGGGCACACTTGGATTTTCTTCCTCACCAGTAGTGCACCATTTCACCTGTTTTTTCACCAGCCATGCTAACAATCAGTGAGCACAAATAAGTCTGTGTGTACCTTGTTTATTGAGAAATCTGCCTCTACCTCCTTGGTCCGCATTTCTTTCTCTGTATCCCACAAGGAGCACACCAAGGTCATGCCAGCAAGCTCCTCCTCGCCCGACCTTGTAGTGCTAGTTCTCCTCAAGCTCGGAGACCTGCCCAGTGACCAGAGCTCTTCCCCTTCCTTGCAGGGTGCATGCATGGACGTCAGAGAGGACTTCTAACAGATCATTTGGGCCAAGGAGGGGGCAGGTGAGAGGCAGGCTGGGAAGCCGTCTGGACGCTGTCTATTCAGGCGAAGCTCTTCTAGCTCATTCACGTTCCTCTTTGCTTTCTCTTGACTGGCATGAGACAGAAATGAACAGTTGCCACCACCACGGGGAGGAACTCTACAACGTGTTGGCTGCAGCCAGGCTCGATGCTTTGCCAGGCAACCCAGTAGGAGGTTTTCATCGCTCCCCTTGTGTTGGCTTTTGAAAAAGGACTTTCCTGTCCTCAAATACCCAGTGTTTTTATTTATCCCATCCTTTAAGCGACTTCCTTAAAGGAAATCTTCTCATATCTTGAGGCAAGCCAGGCACAGTTATTAAGTCAGAGCCGCCCCCCCCCCCCATCCCACCCCGACCCTCTGGCCTGCATCCCATTCCTTCAAAGATGATAGCTTATCCCCAAGATCCCAAAGGCTCATGCCATACTCAGGGATGCTATCTAGTTTGATTTTGAGTAACTGGGAATTCACTGGCGCCTGTAGAACTAACCTCCACCCCTACCCCAGTGTCTTAATACAGCCCTCACCCTGGACCACAATGTCCTTCTCTGTAGCTTTGCTTCCTGAGCCCTAAATTATGAACAATCCTGTCTTGAGTCCCTTCTACATGCCAGCCCTTGCCCCGAGTGTGCCCCTAACATTCTATCACTTAATCCTCACAGTGAAATGGCAATGACCTCCTAATGTAAGCTCTGCAGTGAGTGGCATTTTTATCTGTTGTGTTCCCAGCCCCTAGAACAGAATCTGGGTGATATAAGGCACATAACAGTTGTTGATTTGAAAGAGAGTTACTGTTAGCATCCCCATCTTACAGACGAGAAAATAAGATTCACAGAGGTCAAACACTACTACAAGCTGCAGGGATACTTTAATAGAATCCAAAGGACTAAAGCAATCGTGAGGGAGGGAAACATTCGTGTCCAAACATTCTTGCCTCCCACCGCACTCCTGAGACGACTGCCCATTCCCATCTGTTCTTCAGCTAGAGACAGCCAAGCTCGGTCACTGTGGCTGGAGAAAAGTGGTGCCATGGTCCTAGAATGCCACTCAGAACAACCAGGTGATGGTCACATAAAATCAAAAAGGGTAATAAAGAGCCTTGATTAACAGAAGTCTATTGTGTAAATAACGGTGGCCATGGGGGATGGCCACTGATGAACCCATTTCTGAATAAAAATTGAGGGAGTACACATGGCAGGGAAGGCAGGAGCAAGAGAAACACAAACAAAGAAGCATGAATGCAGACCAAACACCCAACGCCCTCACCCCCCAGACCAAACTCATGAACGGGAACAGCGGAGAGAAAGTCTCATGAAGGCCTGCCCTATGTTTCCCCTGGAACCAAATGCCCTTCTTGTCGTCTGAGGAGTGCTGATGCCCTATATCAAGTATCATTTTCGTCCTTGCACACCCCCAAGCGCCTTGTGAATTTATATCTTCGGCTGTTTTATTCAATAAGAAGTTATCACCTTTATCCAGATTTTTCTTCTTTGCCCACCTCCCACCACTTATGAATGGCCAAGAAAGCCCGACTCTCACAGTTTTTTAAATTGGCCGGCAGAAGGATTTTTGATGAATAGGATATTCTCTTTGGCGAACAAATCACAAACACTAACCAAATCAGTTTCTTTGGTAAAGTGGACGTGAAGGTATTGGTTGGAAGGAAAACAAAACAAAACAAAACAATATCTCTACTCGTTTCTTTGCTGGGATCATTCCTTCCCCCATGATAGTAATTCCAAAACTAAAACTTCATGAAGACTTAAATTTTATGGGGATGTGTTTCTGATTTACTTCTAAGGTGTCTTCTCTATGGTGGGGCTAAACTAATGCTGTCAGAGCAATAATCAATAGTCCATATTAACAAATAAATAATAGTGATCTAACAATAAATAATACATCTTGGCATGCAGAATCCCCCATTTAAAAAAAAATTCATTCCATAATCAGAGTTCCAGAAGCTTTGATTTCAAGCGCTGACATGAGAAGGTGACACGTTTGAAAATGGCCTTCATTTAAAAATACAATATACAGAGACTCAATCAAGTTAGAAGGTTCCTGTCATAAAGCAAAGTTCCACGGCAAGTCATTCCGGCTGCCCACATTGAATGATTACATTCTCAACAAATTCCATTTCATAGGGGCACGTGTGTGTATGTATGCGTGCGTGTGTGTGTGCGTGTGTGTGTGTGTTGTGGCGTGTTAGTGGAGTCACTTGAAGCCGTGGTGCTCCATGTGGCCAACACGAAATCAATGGCTGGTTTAGAACACACTGTTCAGAAAGATTTACCAACAGATCCTTCCAGAATGAAACCAATGCCCTCTTCAGTTGCGTTTTATAAATAATGGCCAGCTTGCAGGTCACCTTGGAGAGAGGCTGGACTGCAGATCCATGAGGCAAACGTGCCCTTGGGGGTCGAGGTCCTGTTTCTTCTTGTTGACTGCTCGCTTCGTGGGTCTGCAGGGGAAACTGAGCAAGTGTGTAATGCGCTAGCTCAGATCCCCTGCAGGTGTATTTAGCACTGTGTGGACAACGACCCCAAGATGGAAGGAGCGACACAGCTGGGCACTTGCTATTTGAAAAGACCATCGCACACCTAAGCCTCAGTGTTTTCTGAAACACCCACCTGCCCCGTGACCAATCAAGGCCTGGGTCCTGTCCTTGGGAATGTGTTCTGCGGGGGTGTAAGAATCATCTTAGGGGAAAACCTACACTTGGTCTGCCCGTTCTTAGGTCGGCGGTGTTGGCAATCCTTTAATGGTGTGACCCTGAGCGAGTCGCTCGAGGCTCCCAGGTCTCTGTTTTCTCTTCTGCGGAAGGTGGGGGTGTTGCGTGTGAAGGGCCGGAAGGATGTTTTTTGGGAAAAGCTTACCACGATGAACGTCTACATAAGCTACATCTTTAGAAGGGGTAAAAAACACGGTGGATATTTGCCTCAAATGCAACCAGGTTGTAATTTCATTTCTATAGATCAGAGAAATGCGCAGGGGCTCGGGCTGGGGGCTGGGGGGCGGCACACACGGCCTCTTCAGAGCGAACTACTTTGTTTTGATCCGTGTTTCCCAAAGTGGGCGAGACTGCCCCCTGGGGGTGCTGCAGTGATGGGGATGGGCAGCAAAAGCAGAAACCTACACCGTATCTTCAATTATGGGCTATAGTACAAAAGGTTTTTAATTGCTGGGGGGGGGGGTGGAGGCCGCTGAGTAAATTTTTGTTCCCTGAAAAGGGAGTGGTAGGCCAAATAAATGGGAAACGTATGATTTAGATCCACGAACTCTTCCCCTATAGGCACTGCAGGGCAGCCGCAGAAACATATCGAGTTCTTCATGTCCAGGAGGGGCATACAGTCAAGTAAGAGGACACCCACAGGATGTCAGGAGGAGGCGAGGATGTGGAGACAGGAAGTGGAAGGTCAGCCAGTTATGCTGGGAATAAAGCTGTAAAAAAGACACCCAGAAAGTTGGATTGCCGGTGCATTGTATTGGTGATTCCTTTCCCCGTCATTTCCATTCAGCTCCCCTTCAGTCAGCCCTTGTTCACCTTGCAAGTCTACGAAGTTGCTCAGGCCAGAAGTCACGGTCCAGCTCAGCCTCTTAGCCCACTCACAGTTCTTAGCAGGTATGCCTGTCAGCAGGAAGCGATGGCAAGGCACCAATTCAGTGTTCATTTCCCCTTCCTCAGCTCTGTGTGGGCAGATGTTGTTTCTGGGCATCCATGCAAAAAGTTTGTAGGGCCAAACTACCAACAGCTGTCCCAGCTGGCCAGATTTTTATTTTATTTTTCTCTTCAAATGGAGATGCTGTCTCAGGGTTCACCACAGCACCTGCTTCTCCTCCATCCTGCCAGGTATTTGGGTCTGGCTCCCTGGTTCTGGAGACGAGGAGCCTCCTGCCAAGAGCTGTAACTAATACAGCAGACGCTTTCAGTGACAAGCAACAAGCTATTCCAAAATGGACTCTGTACTGCCCGGACTGTCGTTCGTTTAAATTGGTGTAGTAACCAAAGGTGTGCTGAACCTGATGTTGGTAGGGGAACATACATACATTGGAGACAACAAAACTCTCACCTGGGTGAATGTGAGGGTGACTCAATTTCAGTCCAGGGATGATGGGCCCTTCTGCATGTCTGCTTCTGAGGGTCTGGCTTTGTTTGTGTTGGTCAAAACTTGCACAATCATCTCCCCAGGATCTTGGAGAGCTAAATGCAGTGGCTGACACTGACAGGGTTTGTTTGAACAACACTTAAAGCTATTTCTACTTTGACAGTTGGCCTTGTATTCAGTAGGCTTTGTCAGAACAGCAGCATCTTCAGTGTGGATAGAATAGGGTCCTGCTTGCTACTCGGCTCTTTTTGTTTTGAACTTAGTGTAAGAGACTAGATGTCTCCTAGGGTCGGTGTGTGGGTGTCTGTGTAGTTTGCACAAGCTCTCTCATACATCCCTGTTTGGTTTGAAAGATTGAAAGCACGCCATGCCCAATCTCTCCCCTTTGTCCTTTGCTCGTTTAGGAGTGCCTGTTTCGTACCTTTAAAAAAAAAAAGAACAAATTTTTATTTTCATTATTTCATTAACATAATCTCTTTGCTTTTGATAAGACCCAGGGTGAAAATATAACAAGCAGACACTATCACACTGTTGTAATTTGGTCAACCACTCGGGTGCTATCAATATCCACCATTTCGACACACTCAATTTCCTCCCGGTTTTCCGGATTTTTCTTCTCTTTCCTTTTTTTTTTTGAGGGTGGCAAGAAAGTCAGTATCACAGGTAAAATGGCAAAGCAGTGAAAGAAGGTGACAAATGCTATTAAAAACAAGCACCTGAACAGTGTACAGGTCAGATTTGAAGGCACAGCTGCGAGAGGAATCAGACCAACAATATAGCAGAGGTAACTCTGTAAAATCGCTACCCCATGCACTTCCAGGGCATTTTTTACCCATTTAGTTCTTGTGAAATCCTTGCCCAGAACAAAGGTGGATAACAGTGGAGCACAATTGTCAATTGTATAGTTAATTCCATAAATTAAGCAGAGCACAGAAATGCAGTCCAGTTCGACCTTCCATAATGTCATGAACCCTATGACGCCAAACTCCACGGACACAACCGTGAGCGTGATCCAGACGTTAATCAGAGAATCTGCCACCAGGAATGCCGAGAAGAAGAGCAGGAATAAAGCACTGATGCAGGCGTTGTGCAGGGGGGCTCCCAGAGAGGAGGCATATCGGTCCATGTACACGAAGGACGGGTTGAAGACTATGAACTTCACCTTGGAGGTGACAGAAAGTCTCCTCAGGGTCTCCAGGAGATCATAGAGTTCTTCTCTGTTGCTGTCCATCGTCTTGGCCACCAAGAACATTCTGGAAGCTACCACATCGACCTCATCGTTGTACTTTTTAGAGAAGATGATGTCCTCTTGAAACTGTGAAAATTGAGGGGCTTTCAGGAAGGAATTCCTCAACATATCTGTGAAGTTTTTCTTAGGCAAGCCAGTGGACACGTTGAGCTTCCGAAGGTAATTTAAGTAGCTCTCAAACCAGGATATCCGCACGAAGCCCTTGGTGTACTCTAGGACGTCTTCTTGGACACTCGCGTTCCAGTACTCGATGGACTCATAGATGTAGAACCCAATCACCGGACTGTAGTTGCTAAAGTACTTTTGCTGGGCAGTAGTGTACTCAATGGTTTGCGTTGCAGTTGCTACGATGTTACTAAGGTCTGACCCTTCACTGACCTGCAGATAGCCCATTAAGGCAAAGGAAATATAAATAAGGTAAAAGAGAACTACAAAAGGTTTGACATAGGTGTTGGTTATCCAGTCACAGTAATAGCGTTTGAGGAAACATACCAATAGGTGACTCTCGTACGTGTTCGCTTCTTCAGCGTCAGTTGTTTCCTCGCTGAATCTGGCTGTCAAGAGAAACCTGTACCAGGCCGGCTTCTCCTGTAACACCTCGGGCTTTGGGACTTTTCTACAGAAGATGCTATGCTGGTAATTGTTTTCTATGTAGCCAGTGAACACCAGGCTGGAACCATAAAACGAGAGTACATAGAGGTAGTTGAAGAAGATTGCAATGCAGGAATCGCAGCAGAAAATCCTGGCGGCCTCGATGTTCGTGAACGGGCTGGCCCCTATGCCAAAGGTGACCAGGTACATGGCAGTGGTGAGAGAAAAGGAGAGCATGGAGTCAGCGTAGACGGCGGCAGTTCTCTCTTTCACGTGTTGGTCTTCTCTCGTTTTCCTCCAGGAGGATAGCATTTCGAAGGTTCCAGATAATCCATGACCTGAGGGTGGGGTGGGGTAGGGAGGCAGGAAAAAAAAAAGACCAAACGCAAGAGTTTAATGGCCTCATCTCTCCAAAGGGGGGCAGCAATGTGGTGCCCGGAGAGATTCCTGAGTCAGAGGAAACAACCAGTCTGAGTGGGGACAGGTGTTCAAATGCCAATGATTTCTCTTCTGGTGAGCTGGCCCTGGGTGTCGGCGAATCAGACAGCTACCTGGGTTGTACACAGGCAGCTAGCGGAGCTGCGCGCTCCACGCTCCCTTGTGGCACACGAAAGCTGAAGGGAATGTAGGGGAGACAGTACAGTACAGGGGATGGGCCTGGCCTTTCGTGTTGGGATGCCTCTGTGGTATAACGAACCCTCTTTGACACACACAGTTTAAACATAGCCCTGGAAGCAAGATGTTTGTGCCAAAAGTGTGCCCCAAAGGAAGCCTTGAGTGTGTGTGTGTGTGTGTGTGTGTGTGTGTGTGGTGTTGCAGGTTCAAAGGTATCTTTCATGTTTCTTTTTTTTTTTCTTTCATGTTTCTTTAATGAAACAATGGATGGGTGGTGAGTGGGCTGAATAAGAATCATCACCCCACCAAGCTTGGGCAGTGCCAGGGGGTACATTTTAGTGGCTTTGGTTTACCAAAGAATGAATTTTTCCTTTTGAAAGCACTTTTTTTCTAAGTCTTTTGCAATTTAACACACCAAGGAAGGCTTCTCTCAAGCAACATCTATACAAACACGCTTGGCTTTTTTTTTTGGATAAGCTTTTACCTCTGGAATAATTTTAGATTTACCGAAAAGTTAGCCCGGTAATGGATCATCCCCTTCTTGCCCTGCCCGAACCCCCAAAAGGAAAGAAGGTTGGACTGAATATCTATTGGAAGCTGAGCAGACTTGGGCCTGTTCTCCCAGATGCACATTATCAACAGCTTAGGGCCATTGGTATCATTTGCCGAGTGTCTGTTTCTATTGGTTGGTGGGATACTCTACAGCTGAGGTCTGGACACTCATCATTTTGTCTGTCATCCCCACATATCTGGCTGGAGGTCAGCCCTGAGGAAGGCCGTGGACTCCGAGGTAACATCCTGTTGTCTCATTTAATTTTGGCCCTGGAGAGGGCTTCAGTGAGAAAGAGGACCTGCATTTAATTTGGGCCTTGACAGGAAACTAAATCACAGCCTCCTTTTTTTCCTTCCCCAAATATCCCGGCAGGAAGCAATCAATCTAGAGGCAGAGGGAAGCAAAGTAAATAGGTACCCTGTTTGAAGGAAGAGGGACGATGGAAGAAAACAGAGAAAGAAGTAGATGCCTTAGTACCTTCCATACGAGTGATGACAATTAGAAATCAGGTCAGAGATTTATGGCTTGTTTCATTTTTAATAGCTTGCATTTTGTCTTCAGGGATTGGTTTGACCAAATTTGGTTGTTGCAGGATGGTGTCTCAAACAGGTCGTGACTTCTGGCTACTCCACACTATTCGGACCTGGCCTCTCAGGGAGAGAGATTGGCCAGTGGTGTCTTAACTGCATCATGCCTTTGCCTCCTTGGTTATTTTTCCAGTAACACTGGAATAGCAGAGGTTCCATGCCTGCCTATGCTCTGATTCCATTCTGCTGCCCAGGCCCTGATCTACAAGGACTACTTCTACCTCTCTTGGTTGAACTCTGGCACTTCCCCACTTCGAATCCCTGGGTTCCCAGGCTCTTGCCACAGTGGAAAGCCCACCAGAGTGACCCATTGTGCTGTTCCCTAACTCTTGTCTTGGCGCTGGGATCAGCAGATATAATTTTCTGCTTCCACGCCTTGGCATATTCAATTCCATTATTGAGGATAATAAAATCCCTGCCCTGGGGTACAATAGCCTTGTTTTTCAAAAGGGATTGAAAATCTCCAGCCAAGCGTAATGCTGAGCGAAGTGAGTCACTATAATCTTGTGTGTACAGTCACCGGGAGCACAGCTTCCCCCGATGCCTCGCTGGTATTTATCTCCTTATTGTGAAGTCTTGACCCTAAACTGAAATGCCCATTTCATAAGTAGCAACACAAACCTGTTTCTTCAGAGGGATTTGGCATTTATCTTCATTTACTAGGCATAGTTTTACAGCCGCTTGGAGAAGTCGGGTCAAGGCGGTCAATTTGATAACTAGCACTGTGGCCCCTATGAAATTGGAGGCACCTGAACTCCCCAGACGTGAAGTAAACAGTGCACTCGTTGAGTGGCATGCCGCTGTTAATTATGTTGTCGAGAGTTAGCATCTAGTCTCAGGAGGAAAGACTATTTATTAAGCCTGTCCACCGTGTTCTCAGGAAGGTCGAGGCCGAACTTCAATGGGAAGTAATAGTCTTTTTTGAAATTGCGGTTAAAAGAAGATTAATACCTCTAAGGCACTTGGGTCCTAGGGGAGCCATATTGACCATTTCATCTTGGGTCTTGTGGAGTAGGTTCCAGTGGGTAAAATATACTTCAAGTGTTCACTAACAATGGCAAACACCTGATCTGTGTACCACTTGTAGCTCAGGACCAACCCTCATAAAGCCTATCCCATGATTACATAAAATGGTTCCTAGTAACAAAGTGACACACTGTTTTGCAACACACACCAAAGCATTCTTATTATTGTATTATTATGCTAAAGGTATCTGTGTATCAGGCAGTGTTTCTCTAATGTTATTTTATACATAGAAAGCTATACTGTGTACCATATAGCAAGACAGTTGACTGACTGACATTAGATACGAACTGACTAGCGTACAAATTTGATTTAAGATTTAGCAACAGAACTCATTTGTAATCCAGGGGCTTTCTGCATTTACTTGCTGGAAACAAAGAAACTATATATATAACTTTAGTGTTGAGTCATTAAATATAATTAGAAAATAAGGATACATTTAGCAGGATTAGGATTAGTCCTATGATAGAATTTATACTAAATTAAATCTGTTCTGAATGTCTTTAAAAAAAAATCAGTGTGATGCTTTATAATTTGACCCTAACTATTGCTGGAAAATACAATAAGAGTCTATCCATTTCTTACCTTTCTATTGGATAATTTCAGGAGATTGAATCATAGCTGAGGATTTATGCTGAAGAGGTTAGTCTGTTACCTAAAGAAAACTGAACCGTGAGGCCTCAGTTTCCTGGCATGGACTCAGGGGAGAAACCTTCCAGAAGCCCCAGGTCTTGAAGAAAGCCCTTCCCCCTCCCCCAAGCATGTCTGCAATGACATTGAACTTCCTTTGGTTTGGTCCTTGAGGGTTTCCTAGGAAAACGCAAACTTCTTCAGGACAGTGGGCTATCCCAACAGCTTCCCTTAGGTTCAGGCAATGGATGGAAAACACAGATGGGGACAGGGGGAGAAGAAACAGCAGGTAGAAGATGTCACAGAGAAGAAATTCCTCAGTCTTCTTTCTCTCTCTCTGTGGGTCTGATATCTCTCTCTCTCTCTCTCTCTCCTGTCACATCAGAAACTGGGCCACTGGGAGTTAAGGAAAGGCAAAGAAGAAAGATTTGGTAGCTTCTGTTTCTTCCCTGCTTTTATCACCGCCCATCATTCCTTAGCATCCCCATCATCCATCCCTCTCTTAACTTTGGGGCTGGAGTTTGGCAAGCAGGATACTGTAGTCAAATCTGAAAGATGAGCAATTAGATACTGCATGTGAGCTGAAGATGCTTTTCAGAGGTCTGCCTCTAAAATTCTCCATCTAATTAAAAAGTTGCCATTAAAGGCAGTCGATTTTAAAAAAATGAGCTAGAAGCTGTGATTGTCTATTACATGTAGCTGAGGGGAACGTGTTATTGACACGTTGGTAAGGGACAATTTCATCTCCAGTGGTCCAAGCCTGTTCATGAGGAGTCTCAGGTAGCAGCCTTCACGAGAAGAGTTATCTAAACGTGAAGCTCCGAAACAAATGAGGCCTTGAGGACCAGGGAGCCTGCAGTGGTAATGGGAGGCATGTCTGGAAGTAAAAGGCTGTCTTACAGTGAGGATGCTCAGGACCTACCAACACCCCGGTGTTCTGATTTCCCGTGTTCAAGGCTGAGGCTGCTGACTTGGAACTATTAAACCGTGTATACTTCTCTCAAATTCTGAAGCTGAAGAGGCTTCTAAAACATTCTGTTGTCTTTTAAAACCGTGCTCCAGATGCCCGTTTCTATTTTAGTTCCTTATATATCTATATACTCATATATGAACACGTGTGTATCAGTTGGTGTCAAAACACATACACGCAGGTTCACATTTTTCATGATTCACGAGTGACTAATCTGAGACCATGCAGGCTAAGGATTTAGAACTGAGAAGGGTTATGTGGATGCTACCCCCCTTCCTGTCTTGTCAGAGGGATGCTTATAGGCAGATGCCCACACGAGCAAGTGCTCGTAGCTTCAGCAATGTTGTACCAGGTAGGCAATCTTGAAAAGAAAGAGATTTTATTAATTTTACGAACAGTAGCCATTGAGATGATCACCTAGTAAAGTCAAATACTAAAAGCTAATCATTTTCCTTTCTTATAGTTTGTGTAGCTCTAGGGACAAGGTTAAGCAGCCCTGGTGGCGCAGTGCTTCCGAGCTCCTCTGCTGGCTGAAAGGCTGGCCGTGGGAACCCAGCCCATGCACTCTGGGCGGAAAACTTGGCAATGATCTCAGCTTTTGCACATGGGGTCACTAGGAGTTGAAGTAGCTAGACGGCACTGAAAAGCAACTGGAACACTTCACTTTCAAGCTTTCAGGTCCATAAAGAGAAAAAGCAACCCATCTGAGAAGTAATATTCATGGTGGAAAAAACACAACTGGCTAATCCTCCAGTCACCTCGGTGGCTCTCAGGAACATTCCTAGATGAAACTGCACTCTCACTCTGGGCCCTTTTCTGGGGCCTGACTCAAAGCCTTCAGGGTGCTTTAAAATCCACCAAGTCAAGCTATCACTGACAAATGATGGAGAGTTAATCCAACCCTACTCAGTAGATCCTGAAAAGTTGTTCATACACGGACTCCTCTTTGATATTTATTAA